CAGGAATTAGTTTATTTCAAGGCATAGGATTTATTGAACTACTATCTATGATGTGCAAGCTGCTGCTATTGACCCATCACGGAATGGCTAATATTGGCTGTTTCATTAATAACTTAAACACTAGTTGCACGCACAAATTGCCTGAGGCTGCTCGTGGGCGTTATCACAGGCCACCTGCAGCTAGTGAAATCGCGACGAGCTGATGTATGATCATCGGGTCTCTGCTTAATGTTCAGAAAAAGGATAAATGCTGTAGGCACTACACAAACAACGTCTAGTCGTTCAAACCAAGTATCAGCGCAAAATTGCTCATGCATATATGGACCCAGGAGTGACTAGATTGCTTTCATGGCCACAAACTCTAAGCGAAAACGGAAATTTGTGTAACATAGAGCGGCGCCGTTCCAGATCATGCAGCGCAGTTTTGCTTCGGGTAGGCAGAATACGAACGAAATCTTCAGAATAGTAATGCGTGAAGCTCGCCCATGAGTATGCAATGTAAATACGTTTGAGGAAAAATGCTCAGAGCTCAGTAAACATTGCCCAAAAACCCTAGATGCACTAGCATTAAACACACGTACGACCTTCCTCTCAGCCAGTAAAAAATATGACTTCCGCTACAACGCCCCTGTCGATTCTTGACATAGTGGGCCGGAAAGTCTCTGCCAATTTGGGCGGTTCGAATTGAATGCTTTATTACTGGATCAATTTCAGCTCAGCAACTGTTCGAAGCGCGTTACTGGCTCCATCCAACCATGTTGACAGTGCTTTTTCAGAGCCTCGAAAGCCACCGAGTGAGCCACCTTCGCATAAGTTATTATTTCAACCATAACTGGCCCAAAAGAGCGCAAGCAGCGTAGCGACTAGTATGCGCTTGGCCTAGGATTCACATAAAAGCAAACTGTGCAGCAATGATTCAAAGAGCTCTTCTGGAAAATGGGAAAGCTGGGAGCTCCGAATGCTGCAGGTTTGACATCGGAGCTGAATGAAGTTTAATTCAGAATTTCAAGCGAACCATATTGCATAGAACTGTGCAGCAGCCTCAGATTTTCAAGCGAACCATACTGTATAGAACTGTCCAGGAGCCTAGTACGGCAGTGAGCACAACTTACTTGTGATTTTAAGGTACACGGAGGAGGCTAAAATATTTGAACAAGTCGACAATCGGGTGAAAAAAAATCGCTCTTATAAACACCATCTTCTAGCTTCCTCTACTATTCTTCTGTTCAATAAAGCAACCCGTTTCTCATTGAGGTCATGTTTTGCAAGCAGGAAAAATTCTGAGCAATAACTGAAGAAGCCCCTCGGAAAGTTACCATGATTAAGGTCAACAGTACTGGAGATACGCGATGGTAATGTTAGGATGACTGGTATGAGGTTTGTGGCAGACGCAGCTCTCCAATCCCAGACACAAATATTGCAGTGGACTGAGTTCTCAACAGGGTGTTATAATATGCCAAAAACGTTAGATATAAGGGTCGTCATTAAAGGAAGCTGTTACGATAGAGAGGGAACGCATCGAGGAAGCATGTGCACCACACGAATCAGTTACTTGGCTGCCGGGAAAGCGAGATGTGGCGCTTTCACAACAGAAGGTGAGCTGATTGCTGAGCAAGACTTCGAAAACGCCCCGCTCCCAAAAACGATCCGCCCACAAATTTACCTATTGATTTGGACGAGCTGTGTGTACATCATATGGAGCATCTCGATTAAAGCACAGTTTGGCATAGTGCCATCGAATGCGATGCGGTAAACTCGTTCATAAGTCCACTTTCCTAGGTGTTGCCTGTTCATGAGTAAAAATCAACGGCCAATGGGGTTCCGTTTTGTCTTTTCTGTTCCTGCTTTTTTCACCACCACGTCACACTAAACCTTTCTTGAATTTATCGTAATCGCTGCCTTTGAGGGGCTGACTCTTGCCCGCGATGCGTCTTCAACACACACATTCACACCAGCCCTGCAAAAAGTTGACCAAGCTGGGCTACTTAACCGTGTTGCTAATTGCTGTGTATTTACTTTTGGTTGTTAGGTGGTAAATTAGGTGGTAACGGTTGTTAGGTTGTTTGATGCAGTGGGATCATCACCATCGGAGGACAAACATCAAGGGTCAAGTCGATGCCAGGCCAGAGGAATTATGAAGATGATATTTCACCCACACAAGATTTTCGTGATTCTGAGGCGTCCGCGTAGTAACTCTTAGTTACTTCAGTGTTTTTTCATCACACAAGTTAAAGAGTCTGAAATTCGCACGCTTCCCAAGGGATATTTTATCTTTCAAGTGAGTCCTCGAATCTTAAGGGATGTGAAGTACAAGGCGCATCCCAGAGTGGGTCCGGTGGTTGCGCGCGCTTCACGTACGGCTCATTGGACAAACAATCTCAATGCAGGAAAAATCGAGAGGATTCTGAAAGTGCCCGTGCGCAATTACAGGGAGGTGTACACCATTCAGCATTGCATTAACGCACCCTTCGGTTAAATTCATAAACATGTGGCCTTTAAAGTTGAGAAACGCTAAACAATTTCACTTTTCTTGGAAAGGGAGAGCAATGATTCCTAATTTGCTCTTACTTTAGTACATAATCGCCCTTGAAAGGATCTATAGTCGTTGAAATAGTGCCAATGTAGCGAAAAAGTACCTTTCGACGATACTCCTGCAAAAATCCTCGACGTGGCCATTTTTTTAATACTGAACGATTGGAGCAGTTCTAGTGAGCATTTGATAGAGCAAATCTTCTAGTTTATGATGGCATATTTACTTTTCGGATTGATAAATTTGAACGTGTCATGGCTATAGAAAATGAAAAACTCGCACTCATCACGAATTTTCCTCGTTAAATTCGCAAAAATCCTCGACCTGGCCATTTTTAAAATACTGGACGTATGAAGCTGCTCATTACTTTTTGTAATTCCGATACTGATTGGGAAAAGCTCTTCACAAAACTCCCGAATCTGCTTTCAGATTGTCAATTTGTCATATTTGAAGAAAGTTGTAACCATTTGAATACGTGTTCAAATTTCAATAGTAGATAAGTTGCTCCACTGTCAACGCCAAAGATCAGTCAGCACACAGCTGGCTAAGGCGGTTAAAAAGCTTCTTTCAACTAAAGGGGGACGTGTAAATTGAGAACCATACTCTGTGTAGTACTAAAATTTGGAGTCTTGTGGAGGAAATAAACAAAGAAAAGATGTTGTCACAGTATGAAATTTTTAGTGGCCAGTTTGTCGTTTTTTGGTCTGCTTCTCGTTTGCTCGTTTGGTAGGACTCATCATAATGGTCACTCTTTGACTTTTTCACCTTTGTACTTTTTCAACTAATTTTTTTTCGGTGGACGGTGGGGTAGCAGGGCTTTTTTATGAACAGTTTTGAGGGAGAATCAAACAACCTTTTTGCTCTCCCTTTCCAAGAAAAGTGAAATTGTTTGGCGCTCAACTTTAAAGGCCACTATGCTCCGGGAATTAAGTGGATAACAACTTAGTGTTGACGAAGCACCATGCTTCACCATGTTTACCGTATTCATAAATGAGGCACTCTGAGTTGAAAACTTCTGGCTCAAAGGCAGTTCGCTGACCCTCTTTAGCTCGCTTTCTATAAAAAACCCATTCTTTTTTCTTTGCGATGTTGTTACGGTCGCGAGCTTCTTGCCTTAATTTTGATTCAGCCAACCGTTCTTCAGCAGAGATGCTTCTTCTTATGAACACATTCGACAAGACCGATTGCCGTAGTAGACGCGCATTGGAGAGAGACTTGAGCCAGTGTGATTTTGAGGGCAACCATACCTTGATTGTATGATTTCGAATGTTCGTAGGGATCCAACGCATTTCGGGTTCGACCTCATTCATTAAGTATATCAATTTGATAACTGCACTGTATTTTCGAGCTCCATGTGCGCGACGAAGCAGAAGCTCACGGGACTCTTATAGTCAAACGGCAGATCACTACTACTACGCTTTTACGCGTCTTCTTCAATCGCATCGGAAAACTGTGAACCAATTTCTCTTTAACGCTTAAAATTCATTTCATGAATGAGCGGGTCATTGTTCGCTTTGGCATAGCACTGAAAATTTCACTGGACAGAGCTAGAACGAAAGTCCGGTCCCACCTCAGCAGATTGTCGGAGCCGCAGCTGTGGTGGCATTGCGGATTTTGAGGATTTTTCTTTTATTGAACTACGCTGTAAATTCTTTTATCCTGCCATCAGTATGTAGAAGAGCAATATAAAAGGACAGTATATCAATTAAAATATGTCTGTTAACGAGACTCACAGATGATTTAAATGCAACAGATTCGCGTACAGTTCAGAGGGGAAATCGATAATAATCGATCTTGATATTTTAGTGCGTCTCTGATGAAAAAATGGCAAATTCAAAGTAGGAAAAAAATGAGTAGCAGTAAATTGCGATCACTGCTTCTTTTCCTAAAATGCAGCAAACGCCAGAAGAAAGTTAACGAATATTACTGCCAACTCGGAAGGGGAAACTCAAATCATACTCATGGCAATATAGGGGTGGGAGACAGTGGCGAGCCGATCGTTATTATCGTCTTCGCCTGCTCTTCGGTGCGTGATGCATATGTCGAATTAAATGATATAATTTATTGTCGAGGCTCTTTGATTACTTGCTCCGTTATCCTATCCTTGATATCAATTGGTTAGTGTGATTGCTCAGTGTGTTTGGCATAGACTGGGATCTGCAATTAAATGGGAGCACGGACATACGCAAGCGTACGTTTTATGGAAGCTTTCTCGTTTTGCAATCTTAGACAATGGGTTATGTCCCCCACCAGAGGCCAGTCGATTTTGGACCTAATTTTGACATCTTGTGTTACTCTTGGGGATGTACACATACTTCCTCCTCTCGGCAATTCTGATCATAGTATCGTTCACTTTCGGGTTGACTACATAACAGTGAAAGTCTATTTCTGCCAGAGCCCGATTTTAATCGTGTTGATTATGAAAATCTCAATGACTGCCTGAGCACAATTGATTGGGATCAGCTATTCAATGGATACAAGTCAGTTGATGAACTCTACTTTAGATTTTGCTCTGTTCTATATTGATGCTTCTCAGAATTGGTCCCCTCCCGGTATTCGAGTTACAAGAGGCAGCAGTACTCCTTACACATCAAAAATCTGTTCGACCAAAAATCTCGGCTTTTTCGAAAACTTCATAACCCCCTCTCCAATACCCTTTATAGGAAAGTCTGTTCAGACATAGAATACCACCAAAAGGTACGTGGCATACCTAGAACGTGAGCTAATCTGCTAGATCGTAATAAGAGCTCTTTCTTCTCTTACCTCAGGGGTAGGATTAAAGCCAGCCCCAAGCCTACATCTATGGTTGATGAAAACGATCACGCTTTGAACTCAGATAAAGAAATAGCCACGTCTTTTGGGGGGTATTTCGCCAACGTGTTCTCTCAATGGAAGCAGTGCGCTGTTCCAGTTGCACCAAATAACGAACCTCCTGATCTCGAAAGATCTGATAGCTTCCCAGACTTGTTTATTCATCCTTGGCATGCACTAAGAACTATGAAAAAATTGAAGTCCACTTCTTCTGCAACGTATGATGGCATACCCCAGGTTGTGTTTCGAAGATGTTGTCATGCCCTTCAGTATCCAATTGCTTTCATTCTGAATGCGCCATTACTTTACGGGGAAGTTCCAATGATATGGAAAGATGCTCTGGTTACCCCTATCCCAAAAATCATCTCTGCTAGTAGGCCTTCGCATTTCAGACCTATAAGTATTTGCCCGGTGGCGGGTAAGATTCTCGAAAAGATTATTGGGGAGAAGCTTACCGGCTGGCTAATTGAAAGAAAGCTTATACCACCCCAGCAGCACGGTTTTATGCCTGGAGTATCGACTACTTCACTGCTATGTGATTCACTCTATGATTGGCTTACAGCTCTCAATGTGGGTACATCGGTTGTATTTTGACCTGACTAAGGCTTTTGAAGCTGCTTAAGAAACTAGAACTATGCGGTATTCAAGGCCAAGTTCTCGCCTGGTTAGACTCCTACCTGAGAGAAAGGCATATGACCGTTAAATTTGTAAGCGAGTATTCGGTTCGTCACGTGTGTTCTAGTGGCTTTCCCCAAGGGGGAGCTCTTTCCCATTACTCTTTCTACTGTATACGGCGGGCCTACCAGAGTTTCTCAAGGTGCACCCTAGAGTCGAAATAAAAATGTTCGCGGATGATATCCGAATCTATTGTGCTTATAGCAGTAATGAGCAAGTGGAAGCACATCAAAGCTTGAGTTTGTCTATCCAAAAGATGCTGGATTGGTCCGACAAGTGGGAACTCCCAATCAACTTATCGAAAACAATACATCTACACCTAGGCCCTTGCCCATCGATACCATTTCGGATCTCTGGTGTCTCAATAAGGAGTGAGCGTTCAGTGAACGATCTGGGAATCACCGTCGATGACTCTCTAACTTTTAATAGCCATATTTCCATGGTTGCAAAAAAGGCTCTTACATCGCTCTTCAGAAGTTTGAGATTCCATTGCAATGAACCATTGTTCCTAGTCAGATTGGTACAAAACTTTTCATACTACGCGCTTTTGGAATATGCCTCACCCAGGTGTGGAATCCCTTACAGAAAAAACACGTATACTGTTTTGGAGAGAGTTCAGAAAATTTTCAAGACTGAGTTTTTTACAATCATTCCCTAACCCTAGCTACCCTCAGGCCATGCCGCCTTATAAGAGATTAGACTAACCATTTGAACATGGAAAGTCTGAAATATAGACGAGTATTCTGTTGACTTATTTCGCGCTTTCGGGTATCAAAAGAGAGTCAAAACTACGAGCGAGCAAGTATTGGATTTTTCGCCTCACAGAAGGAGTGTAAACGGGTACAATATTCATCATAGAAGATGATTACATAGAAATTGTTTCAACACTATTATCACTCTTTCTTTTTTCGCATTGCCAGATGCGTTGCGCTTATTGCCGCAAAGTTTACTTCTTGTTGAAAACTCAATACAATCCGCAAAAAGCTAAAGAAAATCAACATTTTCGAGTCTTAAGAATCCAGGATATTTGATTAGTACCTCGTGGCTTGTCCAATGTGTTTATATTCATTACGCTGTTACAGCTCATCTTGTCTTCAGTATTATCACTTGGTTATCACTTCCGCGATTAAAGAGGTCACAAAAACTATGGCGTGGGGTCGCATACTAGTGGTTGGTATATTCCCTGCTGGAATCATCAAGACGGAGTGAGGAGAACGGTATTCACAAGGTTTGCGTCAACATTACATTCCAATCGACTGCCATCGCGTTGATGTTGAGGTTCTCATGTAGTATCCAGTAGCATCCTTTCTATTCGCATATTTTTTGCCTCTCCACTCAAGGTACGTACTTCACTCGCCGATACTATGTGACTCATGTCCGCTGTAACACTTTGTTATAACTTATATGACTCGAGCTGCCACTGAGGATCAGAAGGCTATTAGATTCGTAACTATGCCACCTATCCAACTGAAGAAGTACTGTCTTAATAGCAGTAGCTTGCGCTCTACTCATATACATGCAAACAGCGATGAGATACTATTGTGACGCCCCCTAAACTTCGCGTCTTTCTACTCGGTCGAGTACATGGTAGTCGTTGCTATTGCTTGTAGGACCGATTGCAGTTGCCCTTCAACATGGACCCAGCCTTACCAGTTCCACGTGGGCGGGCGGTATACCGTGTTCTCGAAGCTTTGGTAAGTCCCTATGACCCCTGTGTGGCGAAGGGGCATCACAGCCGGCTGATTGCGGGTGCTGTGAGAGGCATTGCAAGATGGCTTTAGGGCAACAGTGACAGCTATCCTTTACAGTTTGATGACTACTTTAAAGAAGCAGGGAGAGCTAGTATCGTAACAATCTCTTTCTGTCATTGCATAGCCGCAATCGTTTACTTGCTACCTGGCCCAGTTCAATTGTATCGTTAGTTCTGCTTCTTGACTGCCTTTGGTTCTCAGGTCGTCACATTATTTTCATTGTTTAGTCTCTTATGCTGTCTGGTTTTAATCTGAATACTTCTTTTCAGATTTCCATCTCTGAGTAGATAACGCTCTGGACTTGATCTGTTTGGTTTTGTTGTTTTTGTTGTTATGGCTTGAGTTTTTTTTTTCTTTTTCCTCTAATTTGACCTAATTGATAGGCCGTACGGCCAGTGTGTTCCTTCTCACTAAGGCGCCATGTGTTTATAGACGTCTTATAATAAATAAATAAATAAATAAATAAAACCTTTTATTTATGTTCGGCTTTGGGGAGGGGGTCGTTTCATAGAATTCGGTCTCCGGCGGAGGGAGGGGGTCGTATTTCCAAATTTTCCTCGACGCCTCGCTTGACCCTGGTAACGAGTTTCGCTTGTGAGACCCCGCTAGGCCGTTACGGCGAACCATTCGCTGCGAAACGCGTATCGACCTGTACTCTTAGGGGTCCGCCTCCCTTTCCACTACATATAATTCCCCTACATTGACTTGCGACTTTATCGTGGGATCCTCCTTTAAACCACACATCAACTGATAATTCATTTCAATTTCTAGGCCATCCTTACTGTTGTTTCGTAACGAATGGTGCACAAAAAATGCTCCATACTCGGCAAGTCATACTTTCACGTGGTCAATACAACCTGCATCACTTGACTCAGCGAATCCAAACATCACGACCATCACGATAGGGAGTCAGCATCTTCTATGATGTTTCTACAACAGGGACGGTAAAGAGTTCTCACAAGATTCCCCTTTCTGCAAATAAATCAAGCAGGCCTGATGTGTGATAGTTGGTAGCCTTCCCTCTGTGAGCGAATAATGTAAAACTTAACATTGGCTAGAGCTTGCCCTGTATGTGCGTCAGCCTTGGAAAGCGGCATGGGATGTTCTGACGCGCATGCGTCAAGCCTTGCCATCCATCTTTTCGAGCACGCGCTCCTCCTTTCCGTAATTTATATCTGTTCTATAGATAGTGCCTCACCACAATCATACACATGAGCCAAAAATGATCAAATATGCTTAGACCTGGCAAAAGTTTTCCAAGCTTCGTAAAAATTCACTTCAATACACTTTTCGTTTTCGAGATGTTGTCTTGTCCATAAAAAGCGAAGTAAAATTAAACACAAAACTCTATGGATGGCAACATATTATTTCAATGGATTAACAAAGATAAAAATGCTATTGACACCATTTACAGTGAAAACTAATATTTGTTGCTTTCTCTATATCATTACATGTCATTTGAAAACACTTCTACCGACGTGTATTTAAAGGAATCCTCCTCGAAAAAATGCTCCGCCTCCATTACCACCGAAACACTACACCTTAGGGCCCTAGTTTCATGATCCTAGCAAAAAGAACGGAACATAAGCGTTAGTTCTGATAATACTAATCCTACACACAAGACAAAATGATCACTCTTTCCGTGGGAGATTCCTTTGAGGTATCGTTTTCTGTAGTAATGAGGGCGGAGCTTTTTTCCGTGGAAGATTCCTTTGAGTACGCTCCATGGTTCTTTTGTTGATGAAATAACTCTGCCTTTTAATGCCGTCCCACGTGGCCAGAAAAGTTAAAATAGGTGCTGCCGTCAATGTTAAAATCCTGTGACTGAGAGGGTGAGCGAAGATTGACGAAACCACGAAAAAGATTCAGCAGGAATTCCATGAGGAATTTAAGATTGTCGAGCTAGATCGTGGCAAGATGAACTGTCACTCAAGCTGGCGACACATGTTCGCTTTGTGCACTGTCACGTTTATTTTGCACACTGAATGCCGCTGCTCTCTTCATAATGGCATGACAGGATCATGGTGACTGTTAATAAGGAAGACCGAGTAACTTTTGGGAGCGTCAGGGACTAGCACGGCTTCACATGTTCCTGCCGAGGTCAGGCGTTCGTTGAGAAATTCTTGCCAGTGGGTCGTTAGATTCACTAGGAGTGAGGATGATCACTTAATCGGGATCAGCGATGATCAAAGCAGCAGTTTCCTTTTTTTGGGTGTATAGGAAGCGCGACACATGTTGATTGTCGAATCCACGAAGCGTCCCTGAGAGACTTTCACCGATGCCATGCGCTCCCTTTCCTGCAATGGAGATTTTGAGAAACTTCAATAGATTTCCGGTAGGCAGTGTTCGAAATAACAGAAAGGACTACTCAGAAAACTTGACCTAGCTTCAACTTCATAAAATACAGTGCGTTTCGTAATTTTAATGTCTCCCTGAAAATTTGCATCTTCGCAAGCAGGCGACTGGGGAGCTGGCTAGTATAATTAACTGAAACCTCGCCATGAAGCCCATCTATCGCATTTGTGACAGTAGCATTTTTTCTTTCAACTTTTCTATTTGTTACTTTTTGCTTTTTGCACCGTTTCATAATTTCACCCTCAGAAAAAGAACAATTAGCTGAGATTCATGACAGACATTATAATATTAATAATCTATCGTTCCTCTTTATTAACACGTTGACGGCCGCTGTTATGGAGTACTGCTTCGACTGTTTTCGTGATCTTCCATCAATAGGCATTAATCCTTCGGCGTTTTCATTGTCAGTAATGAAACAATTGTTTTCTGGATCCAATAGTGTACATGGACCATTGTTAAACAGGGAATAACGCCAAATAAATTAAGAAAAACCAGCCTGCTCCATGTGAAAGTGTGGTATGACATCATACCACACGGTCATCACCGCGTAAAGGCAAACCCCGAGATTAGCCCTATTGGTAGGAAGAATACCGCGAGGGAAGTTGTGGGGTCTGTACCTACATAGATCATGCCAGCTTCGTGACTCAAATTGCGCGATTGGGGCGCTAATCCTTATGGACCTGCAACCATCGACCCCCGTTGCAACGCTCCCCATCTACCGCGATTGATGTAGAGACCAGCTCCCAAAAGACGTGCTCTTTCGCATGATTTGTCGTCCTTAATCGCTCTGTCTCGCCATTGTACCATATCCGACGTCACTGTAGGTTAAGGTTCTAATTTGCGTTTCAAGCACGAAGCAAGCAAACCAGCGTTTGTGCTGAGGCCGTATGCTAAATGTTGAGGAGGGGAAGGGGTCCCCGACGGTCGACGAAGCACTTCAGCTTGGTCCTTGGAACCGCGTCAATTTGATGCTTACCTCTGGACTCATTAAAGAAAGGACGGACCTGTGAGGCAGCGCAGATCCGTCCTAGCTGCACCACTTCGTCATCACTCTCCTACCGTACCGACCGCGTCAACGTAGTTCGTCGACCTCGGAAACCCAATCCCTCCCCAGCATTCAGCATACGACGCCAACAGAAACGCACCAAAAGGGATGGTTTGCTTACCTCCTCTTGTACGTCAATTTCATCCCGTGGCTTACCCTTGAGTGCAACATCAAGCAGCCTCCGTGTTCTGCTGAAATTGAGATTCCGATGCAGCTGATCGATTCACTTCGTGCTTCAATGGTTGCTCACGTCAGCTCTTTTGTAGTTTCTAACTGGCCGCATGATCCTACTTACTATAAAGCGCGTCGTCTGTCTGTCGTCCGTCGTCTGTATATATCTCACGAAATTCCCTAGCTCCTCGGGATCCGCATAGAGGGGAAGGGTCAAGTATGGGTTGGGTGGCCCAGGTCTCGAGAAGTACAAAACACACATCAGCTAAGCGGAGCCCGCCCACAATGGGCGTGGCGTGCATCGAAGTGAGTTGTACTGTCGACCAAGATTACAGGTACTATACCAAAACAGCCTCGAAACTGGCGGAAAACAGTAGGTAAAGAAACAAATTGGTGTAGGGGACTACTGTCTAAGGTGCTCCCAGCACACTCGACGTGGGAGGTCCGCCCACAATGGGCGGGCGCGTTCAGAAGTGTACAGCGTTTCCTACAGGTCCTCATAACTTGGGCCGGAGAAGCCTTAGTGAGCCAGAGAAAGGTGGATAAAGGTGGGTGGAGGAGTAGAAGCCAACTGTCCTCGGTGGGCGGGACATGACCAAAATGGGCGGAGTTTGCGACGGAAATTTATAACACTTTTCCAAGAAGTCCCGGAGAACGGGAAAAGAGTTGGGTGAAGCAGGGGACCTTAAATACTATTGGAGGGCGGAGCACGTCCGAAGTGGGCGGAGTTATCCGCGAAAATTATAACTCGGTTACAAGAAGTCCTGGAAAACGGGAAAAAAGTGGATAGAGGTCAGCGAAGGACGAGAACTTAACTGCTGCAGGTAGGCTGAGCACGCACTTAAGTGGGCGGAGTTTGCCAAAAGCGTGGTAATTTAGTACCAGGAGGTCCCAGTCCGAAGACCGGGAAAAGAAGGTAATGGTTGACGAAGAAAAAGAGGTTGAAAGCCGTCGATGACGAAGCGGATAGAATTTAGCTGAGAAGTCCGATATTCGTGGTGCATCAAGCCAAATTTGAAAATTTTCGCCGCACCATCAAAATTCGCCGCAGATCTGTGTTAAGCGCGCAATGCGTGCGGCGCCAACTGGTGCTCAAAGATGTCACTGAGATACTTCATCGAAATGCGGCCAGAACTTCTGAATAACCTGCTCTGGGTTTCGAGACTGCTGTCGCTTCTGGCTGCGTGACTTACATGACTACCTGTACTGTTCTCTAAGAATACGTGATGTAGAAACGTCGTCGGTTCAAAAAAGAGATCTGATGTCAATGTCACATTATCGCTGCTTGTTTTCTCCACTCTCCAGTTCACACTTTTCAAGACAGAAACATTAAATTTTGAAGGCCTTTAATTTCGGGAAAGGAAGCACTGTTTTTGACACTCCTCTTAAGTCGTCTACATAATTAATTTTTATTTTATTCCTTTGTTGCTTTTAGAGGCAAAATTCGGGATCGAACTCGCGAGTTTTCTGACCACTTATGAAGTATTGGGTGGCACTTGAATAGACATAACGAAAGCAGGACAACAGTGTAGTGAGGCCAAAATAAGACTCCCATCTTCTTCAGCTGATCTCAAGCCAGGACTGCAAGAGTGACGTCGCCATATGAGTTGTCCACCTGTGCTGGCACCGAGCTAGCAACGATATATCCTAGTCACCAATCGATGACGCCAGGAAATCTCAGCTGATTGCTGCCCTTCTGCTAAGTTTCCTACTCTCTCTCTTCACTCGATCCTTTTTTGTGTTTTCTTTTTGATAGTCACCTAAATAAATAGAACTGCCCTCAATCAATATTATTTCCACGTTCTAAGATTATTTTGGAACTTATTGAGTTTCAGCAGGTTTCTTTCAGTTGCACAATGTTGTGCGAAATGCGAATTTGTTTATATGTGGCTACTACTATTTTTCGCAGTGAACTTTTATTAATAGCTCATTTTCAGATCGGGTGAAGCCAGTGGTAATGCGAATGTACTTTTTTCAACGGCCCTTTGAATCCATTCACCGAACCTGTCACTCAAAGATAGGTGTGCAAATTATCAATAGATTCATGTTGTTGTAAGGAAAACAAGTCAAACGGCATGAAACTGCTTTGCAGTTGTTGTGTTCAGTGTTGTTTGACGTGATTGCTATTTCTAATGAGAAAATATGGGTTATAATGACAAGGCTGGAATCGCTCTTGCCAAAATGGCGGTGTCTTGTAGTGGTTAATGGCCGTCCGCTAGAGCATCTTGAACATCGAATACTCTGCATGAAGCTCCAAGTAAGTTGTTGGTGTTTATTTGGTTTTAATTCATTGCTTTTTCTTCGTCGTGATGCTTTCCCATTAATATGATTTAATGTATTCCATATATTTCGAAATAGATCAGATCAGCACAGATACGAAAACAGTACGAAAAGCTCTTGAAGCTTCGGAAGTTTTTTTTGCAGTGAACTTGGGTGGCTGTCAATTGATCATTCCCGCATTTAGTAAGCTGAGTGTGCTTTCTTCTTGAACACGCTTATGTTTTGTTTCAGGTTTTATCAAAAGTATGATGACCAGCAGAGGAAGCTGGATTGAAGGATCATTTTTTGCATACTATACGCTTGTTGCTCCTCATCCTCGTCGCACCGAAGCCAAGAAGTTGTGAGAACCAGGAGCCTGCGCACAATATCAGAAGTACTACTACTGAATGGTTCTGTTATGTTACAAATAAATTGTTTCCTTTTTGTTGCACAAATTAAAGAGTATCTTTTATGTAAATTCGCTCGTTCTTCTGTAACTTGAACTTTTTATTCATAGACGTTCATTTTACAGAACATAGCTACTGATTTAGTAACAACGAAAGCGTTTGAAGAGCTGTTAAGTAAAAAACATTGAACGGCTAGATGGGAAAGTAGTCGACAAGATTCTGGAATGAATATTTTAATTCTTTCGCCTGGAATACAGCTTCGAAGTGTTCGTTCTTTAGCGCAGATATTGGAAGAGACTGCTGATCGAGCAGTTCCGTTGGTGGAGGATACTTTTCTGGTTGTACGAGGTGACCGAATGAAATAGGCAACACCTTAACAAAAAACTTGTAGTATTTGCGGGTGATTGTTTGAACGAAGGGAAAAAGTAAACGAAAAACTTATTGCCTCAGATCCGAACCATCTATCAGAAACGATTCCTATGATACAAAAAGGCGGCAACGGAAGCGCTAGTCTCATAAAAAATGTAAGGATGAAGATGATGCAGAAAAAGTTGTGAGAAATTCAAACCTCCTCGATACCGGGAATAGCTGTCTTTGAAAGTTCCTTCGAATTGCTTTAAACTTTTTTGTCATTCGCTGTGGTTTTGAAACAATCTTCTCCTTCCGTCTAAAGATTCCCTAAACGACTATATCATTTGATAGGACAGCAGACTATAATCGCAGACTATAATCTATTTATTGGGTTGTCTCATAATTCCTGTCGCATTTCTATTCAATTTCAAATTCCTTCCGTCTAACGATAAGACCGTTTCATTGCGAAATACGTTAGTATGCTGAAGTATGCTTCAAGTGCCTCTACAGCGTGGTTTCGAATCGCAAGCCCTTAACAGGCTAATCAACTAGTAATAAAGATAGGTCAGTGACTGCAATCAACGATTATGCCTTAAGATCCTCAAATTAACTCTGTAGCAAGGAGGGCAACAGAGGAGATCAGCGCTGTTGTGTTTGACTCAGTCTTTGCTACTGATAGGGTACTGAGCTAGTGGACCAATCGCAACGGCAAAGACGAAACGAGCTATGGACTTCAACCTCATACTGGGCCTGCGATCATTTTTGATGACCGCTCCTTGCACCCTAAATTGGGAGTGCTTCCGTACGTTGCTACCAGGGTATTGTAGCGGATACCTGAGCGCAGCCGATGCAACACCAAACGCCATCAGTATGGCAAGGACTGCTGCAGAGTGAAGTTTTGATGGAAACCTTATGGTTCGGCCGACCATGAGCGGGAAGCACGTCCGATCACCTGGGAAAAACCCATTCTTGGATGGTAAAAGCAGAGTCTTCCCTAATTGGTCACCGGTGAAAATGAGAAATGGGTCCACTGCGACAACAACATGCGGCACGTCTTATGGTTGCCTCGCAGCCAGTAAGCACTAGCTCAACCAAAGCGCGAACTCCGTTTTCTGAGCATATCGATCTCGTTATATTGGACTTCGCTAGGTGGCCTGGTTTGGAACCAACTTCACTGTATGAAGACAAGTATTGCTAAAGTCAGCGCGAAATAGCCCTCTTGGCTGGCTTTGGGGTTGCAGAGGAATCGTCAGAAGGTTCAGGTCTCCTTCCTCCGAATTTACACCAGACCTCACATTGCAATGCCAACTCACCACGTTGTGGGGGAGAAAGCCAGGGCCACGATACCTCATCCACCATATATGTAGCAGTGGCATCGGTCTATCGGACTATCGCCTCCCCTGTGCTTTGACTAAGCATCAGCCAGGGAAGGAAGTTAAAGATTGCGGTCACCCCAAAAACGACTTCTTGATATTCTTCAACCCCCAGTTTCCTTCATTCTGGGCTGGAAGCTTCCAAACGCCCACTAGTAAATGCACGCATATCAGTGATCATGATGGTGGTTATATCATTGATCAGCTGTTTCTTAGAAGAGATAAGTCTTGGATAAACACAAGTGTCAAAATTGCGACAAGAATTATGAGGCAACCCAATAATAGGACACCAATTACACTGTGAAGTGGCATAAAACATACAATTACGAAAAACGCATATCGAATACACTGAGAGGGGGCTGCAGGAGTTTGTGCAGGGCAGAGAGTAATCCTAGTTCCCGCGAGGAAGAAAGCTCGGGCGCGGGTAGGCCATCCCGCTCGTGCAAAAAGCAAGTGAGATGAAATTCGAGCACTTCGAACTTCGAAATAATTGATTTCGCGCCGCCCCAATCGATCAGAGGTGGCTTACTAATAAGAAAGAGACTTTTTCGCGTTTCGTAGCTCGTAGCACTTTTCGCTGCGAGAACCTCGGGTCCACTGATTTTCCGTTGCGGTAACCTCGGGTCCACTGACGAACAAAAGTGGACCTGATCTGCAGCGAAACATCTTTCGCATTGCAGAGCGCAAAGAATTCGCTTTCTGTCTTAGTGAATCACACCCCGCAAAAAGTAGCAAGAGAGGCATACCTGTCTAGGCATATAGGCTACATAGTAGCTGCACGCTTATAGAAAAGCTCGGCAGCTTGTGCCAAAACTTGAGGATTGTTGATGATTGCACTCTACACAAATCCAAAAGTACAGAACCTGTAAGTTTTCGTAATACCAGAGAGATGGAAAATTTGTCCATTGAAACAAAGGTTGCAAAAAGAGATTCTGGACGAAAATTGTGTGAGTCTGGAATGATTACAAACAATATCAGCTTCAAATACAAAAAGATAGAAAGTATTAAACAATAAGAAATAATAAAGGTGGATTGTATAAATAATGAATAAGACGGTTTTAATAAGCGAATAAAGATAGCAAAGATAAGTGAGAAGCCATTTCAATCAACGGTTGTATGACATCTAATCCTTTTGGTGCGGCGGGAACCTGGTAGTAAGTAAGAATGCGTGAGCCAGGGGGCATGGGGCCAATTCAGGGAGGGAGGGTGTGTGAGCCACTTTACCTGTGGCAATAGCTTGGGCCTTAGGGTCTGGTGTCTAACCTTGTGAAGGAGACGCAGAGGAGCAAAAGATGTCACAGATGTCACAACACCAAACCAGAAACCCTTCAACCAGCTGTTACAGATAAATCCCCTACAACACACCTACGACAAGTTGTGCTCGCGAGATTTGGACGCACTCGTCGTCGCTTACAGTCCATATCTCGAAGTCGGGGAGGGCGGGGCTGCGGACTACATTGCGAGCGCGTCGGCGGTTGCGTGCCTATGGAAGTTTGCCGTGAAATGTCTGTGTCAGTTGTGCAAAAACACTGCCTCTTTGTCTCCGCTTTCTCTAATTCTCTTCCATGGCCACAGTCACTAGGGTGCTCTTCCGTCTGGATGTCGAAGAGTATTGACGGCCGAATCAGCTGTTTTCAGCATTATTCGGTTTCAAACTGGTATTCTGCCACTCCGCCAGGCTTCCTTCAACAAAGGTGAGTTATCGCCGACGCGCTCGCAATGTAGTCCGCGGCCCCGCCCTCCCCGACTTCGAGATATGGACTGTATATTTTCAACAACCACGCCGTAACGATTAGCGCCCTAACCGCGCATTTTGTGCGGCGGGCTTCGTGGGTTCCTTTTCCATAGGGACCGCACTATTTCACTTATGGAATTCTCCGCACTAGTAGGGCTAATCCTAGGGTTTCCTCTTGAGGGTTTGGGCTTGGAAACACCTGCAGATACGTACACACTGTAGAGAGTCAAGTTACACAACCTCTCCAGGGCTTGAACACCCAACACTTGCTGAGCTTAATCTTGAGCACGCCTTTCAACACTGCTTTTGAAGTTTACGTGAACTAGCGCTCCACACTGGAGAGCCATACCCTGAGACAGGGATGACAAGCTTTATATAATTTGAGCAACGCTGGACCATCACTGCATTGCGCATTTTTGCAAATCGCGAAAAGTATAGGAAACGCTTTGCGAACGACTGCTTTTATATGTGGATCGAAAGTCAGATCATGATTCAAAGAACTCTAAGAGCCCGCGCCTCCTGTGAGATGCTGGAGACATAATTGCCAAACGAATACTCCATGTATTCCGCCCTGCCATTATGAAGAAGCGAGGTTTTGAGAGAGATACAGGTATATTCCTAGCCGAGATACCCACTCCATCATGTTTGAAATAGACTGAGAATGAACATGGAACACGTTCATAGGATTTAGTGTCATAGACAGCATAGACTTTGATGTCATCGGCTGTTTTCAGCTTCTCAGGTAATTCATACGTGTGTAACAGAAATTTGTGACGATAAAACTTCCCTGCGGAACATCGCTTGTGAATGAATAGCGTCTAGAGAAGAAATTCCCAATTTTGACGTAAAACCATCCTGTCTTGCGAGTAAGATGGAATACATAAAACAATGATCCCTCAATACCTGTCTTCAATACCTAGCTGTTCAGGTTTGAAAAGGAGCTCCCCATGGTCGACTCTGTCAAAAGCCTTCGACAAAGCAAAGTATATAACATCCACTGATTATCCAGAATTAGCTGCTAAAATCCAGTCAAATACACAATCAGCGAGCTCTGTAACAGTTCAGGCTAATGTTACAAAGCCGTGCTGCTCAAGGGGGAATTATTTCTGCTGAACCAGAGTAATGCTTATCGGGCGATATGAATAGAGAAGTACAGAATCACTAGTCTTAGGAATCGCTACGACGATGGATTCTTTCCACAAAGAAGGGACTTCTTTCAGCAGCAACGCAGCAGCGCATTGAAGATCATTGATAGCTTTATAAAGAAATCTAGTACACTATAGACAACAAAGGAGACCCGTTTTCGTTTGTTAACTGCTGTTTTCGGCCGCAGTTCGCCTTGCGAATGCTTCACATGAATGATGGGTGGTGCACAAAACTTCCGCTCCAGGTGGGACTAGTACCCGCATTCCTCGCTTTTGAAGCTTTAAAAGCGAGAGGTGCGGGTTCTAGTCCTAGGCGAACGTTTTGTTCACAACCCAGCATTCTCGTTAAATCACGTGTATCGCCTGTGGTCCCATTGATCGTCGATTTGTTCGGCGGGCGCCAGCAACGTCTCCATTTGTCCCTGTCGCGTGCTGAGTGTTCCAGCGGATCCTCCCGCTTGAAGGACACGAAGCCGTTCATTCCTTTCGTTCAGAGCTTTCGTGAGGGTACGCTCGGCCCATTGCGTGCGACTTCCGCTCACTTCAAGTCTGCTGGCAGCTTCTTAGACATTCCTAAAGCAATTTGCTCTGCTCTATGGGTTTTCTCCAAAATGGGTTATGAATTTTTTCATCAAGCACCGCTTCTTTAGAGAACATGGTGACTCGCCCTAACGATCTTGCTTATAAATACCACCCTCGTTCATTTCCCCAATCTGCAGGCTGTTTTTGGATCGAATTTGAAGTTTTCCTTGTCAGTACCGCTCGTTTCGCTCCCACGATGTACTCTCACGGAATAAAGAACAGCTGATTGCATTGCCATAAAAAGATTGACTTCTCGGGGCTGAAAATAAAGTTCTTCGGAGACCTAATTTTTTGGGGACGACGCTTCCAGAGAATTGTGGGATATTTAGGGAAGCAAGAATCTCGTAATCTTCAGAAGTGTCTTCGCCCTCCCTAACAAGCTTTCAAAGGAAGTTGTTATTGCTGAAAGCTCAAATACTCGAATGTGCTGCTCGGAAACCAATGGGGAAAAAATGTGCGAGTGTGTGATTTTCTCGAAGAATGAACTTTGAGAGGCTTCTTAGGAAGAAGGAATCCTATATTTACTCTTAATGCAACGAAGTGAACCTCAGAAGCGAAAAAAGTGACCTATGACCGCTAAAAGCCTGAAAACTCGCGTTTTCAAAAAAGTGCGCGGCAAAACTCCCAAAAATGTGCGAAATCGTGATTTTTCCGAAAAATAAACCTTGAGAAGCATTCTAATGCTAATCAAAAAGAATCCTGTTCTTTCTTCCCATGCAAAAAGTGAGCCTCAGAAATGAAAAAGAAGTGAGTTATGGCCGCTGAAAGCCCAAAAACTCGCCCTCGCATAGAAAAGGTGCGATGGACGATTTTTTGAAAAAGGGGCCAATCACAAAAGTATTTATGCTGTTTTAATAGAGAAATATCTGTAGTTTCTAGAACTTCCTACAGCTTTCCATAATGTCGCATACGAAAGATATTATGGGCCTTCAAAGTTGGGGGTGCACCTTCTTAGAGTTTTGGGTTTTCCACTTTTTACAGAAGTACATTACGGAGCGTTAGGTGGCCCTTGTAGTTTTCATAAAGCGCGCCTCAGGCACAGCTCAAATCTACCTAAACAAGACAAAAAAGTATGTTCCATGAAAGTTATTCCCCTCTAAAATAATTCCTTCCCCGGGTCCCGTTCTGCCAGCGTCCGGATGATAACTGCCGCACTTCGAGGCTAACGCCGCAACACGGCTGCGTTAGCAGCAGCAATGGAGCGCGGCAGGGAGTTTCCGGCATCAGGTGTGGGTGTATAACTGCTTTTCACTGCCTTTGCGTGGACAGCAGCTCAATTCGTGAGCACAAAGGCAGTCAGTTTTAAGTTGATGTGTCCGCAAACGATTCATTTTCTTTTCCTTTTCCGTAGGTGGGTTTTTCATGTGTTCAGGTGGCTGATCTATGACCTCTATAAGAAATTAAAGAACATGAATAAATTTTTGAGTTCTGCATTATTATTTGAGTTTGGATTTCTCAAAAAATTCAAAGATATATTGCGAAGAATAAAAGAATGGCAATGTAATAAAATGGAAATGTGAGTGTTTAAAACATTGGCAGCACTCTTACACTTAATAGCACTCTTAACAACAACAGGGGCGGGTCGCAGAAGTTTTGAACGTGACGGTTGACCTTGCTTGACACCTCGACCCAGGTCACAATAAAGTTCGGCTGCTGCTCAGACCGAATCTTCCTTCCTTTTTCATTGGCTTCCTCAGGACCACGATTTCGTGAATATAGGGCCACTCATGAAAAGTTCCCATTTATCCATGAACGAAAATAGGGAAGCGGGGATACATACGAGCTTCGGCGACATCGAGTTTGCCAAACCTCGTGCTACTCTCCTCTCTTCCCATTAACAAGCTCAAGGCAGAGCACTTACTGAAGCCGGACAGCTGAGAAGCAGAATTGCCTCCCACATCGGCCTGCTCACACTGCATAAGCAACTATGGGCAAAATCCTGGTCAGTGCGGGAAGAAGAGCAGTCCTGCTTGATAAAGGCTGCTTTCCATGCAAGATTCGAGAGGAATTCCGCGTCTTCTGTCGAATCATACAAGAAGTCTGAACAAAGTCCGTGCCGAAATGGGGCCTTCCGTGAGCAAAATCATCGTGTGGTAGGTAAGTAAGCAGAGCAAGGACATCTTCAGAGAATTGACGAAACGCGCTCTAAGATTATCCAAGCGCTACAAGATTGCTTGTCCCCATTCCTCCCTGGAAAACGCCTCAACTAATTGAACGAAGGCATGGCTGTTAAGACCCTTCACGATCTTAGACTGTACCTCCTTGTTTCGTGTACCAGATGATCTGGGAGCGACGA